AACCTCTCCTCATACAACCCAGCCCACTAAATTCCCTTTTATTCCACAGATCCTTCTCATGGAGGAGCTCACCTTCTTACACGAACTGTATTGACCAACAGTTATACATTATTGCAGGAATGGGAGAGACCCTGTACCTGGATATATATATCTCTATTTTTTTACTTCATCTAATTTTTCTCTTGCATCAGTCTGTTATAGAATCTAGACCACTGTTTTCCAATCTCTGGCTTTGAAGACCCACAAATGCAGGGCTGCACGATGCTTATTAATGAAACAAATAGTCTGTGTTCACAAAACTAATGACTCTTGATTTACTATGCTGAAGAACCTAGAGACTGAGAGGCAGCCCTAGTCAGCCCTCACTCTTCCCTCTGCGGTAACCCCTGAGCCCTGCCACATCTCCAGTTTATTTACACAATCACAAAACTGAAAATAGACATTGAGGGAAGGGGTTAAGAACTTGTCTACTCTTTCAACTTAATCGATCAACCTGAACGTACTTTAAGAAGTCACAGGATTTGTTGTTACCAGAGCATTATCTAGCAAGAAAACCCACTGGAGAAAAGTGCCCACAAGAGTTCTCACTGTGGCAGCCAGACTGAAACCTGGATGTCTTCAGGAATCCTCCCTGTAAGCCCTCTTCATATTCACTGTTGATTCAAAATAACATATGCCATACCTATGTTCTCCAGTTAAGGCTGTGAAACACCTGTAGGGTCTTTATTACTGCAAATCTTAAGAAACAAGGGTATTTCCAGCCTCCTGGTTTTCACTACATTACTATGACAAAAGTGCAAGTGGCGTGAAACTTTCCACGCAAAACTATGTCTCACATTCAAGAGAAAGACCATGCTGGCACAGGCATTGTTGGATAAATTCAAGCTCCAGCTGGCAAGAAGATGCAAATTATTAGGGACCCTTACCACACTGCCTTGGGGCATGGCAACACACTCAGACACAAGCATTGTGAAGCACTGCTCCTGGAGGGTTCTTGTCATCTCCTGCCCATGGGACACCCCAGGAGGCTTCCATGGTCCTCCTCTCACTCCCTCAAAGATGCAGCACACATCTGGCAGCTCTCAGTTACATGAAGGTAATTGGATGCCACATGGAGAGTTACAGAAGGTTTGGCCAAGGAGACCTGACACGGTCTTTGGAAGCTGGAAAAAGACGATGTTTAATTGCATGTGTTCATTTCTTTGTCCTAAAAACCCACATTTACACTCTGGCTATCCTTTAAAAGGAAACTCAGTTTTCTGCAATAAATAGTTATGATCACCTACTCAAAAATATTCACAGACAGCTCCGCAAAGTATTCAGTCTTCAGCAAAAAACTAGATCAGTATTCAGTGTGGAAATATAATAGGTATTGTTTGTATAAGACTCCACTTTTAAGTATGCACCTCTACTCAAACCCAGGTATTAATCCTATTCACTATAACAGAAACTTTATTCAATGCTAAGAAAACTAAATCTTTGCTAGATTGTCCATGCCCAATGCAATAGTGTCATACCACATCTTAATGAGTTCAAAATAAATGTAAATGGTTTGATTATGCCAAAATTACATTTCAAGATAAAATCCACAGAGTACGGCAACTTGCACTGTAAATCTTCCCATCCACTACCTGTGTGCCTTTTCACTTATGACAACTGTATTATTTCAGCTTAAAAGCACAAAAAAATTTACTTTTTGTGGGATTTTATTTCTTCCCACCATGTCCCTTAAAGTATCTAACAGGTCTTTTTGTTTACAGATTTGCTAAAAAATTCAACAGATCCAAATGAAGCAGTAGCATCTGCTTGCCCTGTAGTTCAATAAAACTTTAAATACATTTTAAAGGAAGTTGAAATCTTAGGTTGTTTTACATTTAGGTAATTTAATCTCATTTTTGTGATTCTGTTAGTTTATAGAATTTTTTCATCTTTGGACATGTAAGGTTGCTGGGCAATAAAAATCCAGACAACACTGAAAAGTCTGTGCTAAGTAAAACTTGGATTTAAAAATGCAAGTTATTCCAAACTCATGTTACTAGATGTGCAATCTCAAGTCCTCAGAGAGGTGTAAATGCCATGACTGAGATAAGGCACCTACTGCCCTGGGGTGCAACCTTGACTTCTGAAGTATACTGAACTGTAAGTAAGCATGCAAGACTTGACTCCTGAAGTGCACTGAACTAGAAACTCCAGCTGCTCACAATGGAAGGTACCTGCTCTGTTAACAGATCACTGAAGAGCACCAGGCATACCTGAAGACAGTCCAACAATGCATATAGTCACAGTCTCATTTCCACAACTATCCCATGGCTCAGTGAAGCCGCTGAATTAAATCAAGTGAGATTACACCCCTAGAGATGAGCAGTGGATGTGCTCATTATGCAATATAAGAACAGCTATTCTATTTCAAATCATCCCTCCAAAGCAAACATGATCAGCAGCTCTGGCAAACTCCACAAACACACAAACAAGCTTTATTTAATATCAAAACCAGCAGGTTTGGTATGCAGGCACAGCCCATATTAATACTAGAAACTGCTTGGAGGAAGTGATTGTAATCCTGCTAATTAAAGTCAAGTGTTAGAAAGCCTGGGTACCACTTTGATTTAGCAGTATTCTTTCCAAATGTTGACTGTATCTTGTTCAAAACAAGAGCAGTGCCCTCACAACTAAACAGCAATTGACAGGTTTTGTAAATAAACATGCCGTTTCTTTGCCAAACCCAACAGCAGAAATGAGAGGACTGGGCAGTCACTGACCATATGAAGTTCAACAAGGGAAAGTGGCAGATTCTGCACCTGGGTTGAGGCAACCCTGGATGTACAGACAGACTGGGGAATGAGATGCTGGAAAGCAGCTCTGTGGAAAGGGACCTGAGGGTTGATGGCCAGTTGAATATATATTCGAGTCAGCAGTGCCTCGGCAGCCAGGAGGGCCAACCATGTCCTGGGGGCATCAGGCAAAGCATCACCAGCCAAGCAAGGGACGGGATTGTTCCGCTCTGCTCTGCACTGGTGGGGCCTCACTTGAACATTGTGGCAGTTTTGGGCACAATATAAGAAATACATTAAGCTATTAGAGAGTGTCCAAAGGAGGGCAACAAAGAGGGGGAAGGGCCTTGAGAGGAAGCCGTATGAGGAACGGCTGAGGTCACTTGATGTGTTCAGCCTGGAAGAGGAGACTGAGGGGAGACCTCATTGCAGTCCACAACTTCCCTGTGAGGGGAAGAGGAGGGGCAGGCACTGATCTCTTCTCTGTGGTGACCAGTGACAGGACCCAAGGGAATGGCCTGAAGTTGTGTCAGGGGAGGTTTAGGTTGGATATAAGAAAAAGGTTCTTCACCAAGAGGGTGGTTGGGCACTGGAACAGGCTCCCCAGGGCAGTCGTCACAGCACCAAGCCTGACAGAGTTCAAGAAGCATTTGGATGATACTCTCAGGCACATAGTGTGACTCTTGGGGATGGTCCTGTGCAGTGTTAAGGGCTGAACTTGATGATCCTTGTGGGTCCCTTCCAACTCAGCATATTCTGTGTAAAGAAAACCCTACATTTTCATATTTGTTTATTTGTTAGATGTCATAGTCTTTAAAGCAGAATAATAGCTTGCAGCCTTAAACAGTACTACTAAAATGTGCAACACATTTTTGTGAGCTGGGGTGTGGGGAGGAAGGGACGAACTACGGCAGAGAAATTCCCACTTAGCAGACACCTGTCATGATAATCCCACATCAATAAGCAATGATGTAAAACATTTACAAGCAATATACAAGGAACAACCACTGTGGTTTCCAGTCAGGATGATGACTATCACCAAAGTAACCCTGTGAGATTCAGACATAAAGTTAGGTCCCGTGTTTGTAAAGATGAACTCCTCTGAACTCTGCAGCCAGACATGAAAGTCCCACTGACATCAAGGGACACTTGCAAATCATCACAGAACTACTACCACTCTAGACCCCAAGCACAGGTACGCAGCCAAATGTATTCATACCATTTATTTTTGACAACACACAGAGCGTGCCTTTTACTTCAGCTACTCATTTCTCCCTAATTATGCCAGAAGACAATTTATAACAATAGGTATTAGTCAATTATGCCTGAAGAAAAGTGGATGACTGCTTCGAATTACACGAATTCCAGAAATACTCATATGCTTTGCACTTTTATCGCAGGAAATTGATGCCAAGATTCAGCAGCCCCTATGAACGTTATCTTCACCACCTATTTCAAAACTAACAGTCGGAAGAGCTTTGTTCACTACCTTCCCTCAACAACCAGGGAAGAATGACTATCTTATCAGACTGAAGAGACCAGCTGCATGTGATAATACCCAGTGTGGTCTACCAACTAATTATCTATCGTCTATTAAATGTGTACTAGTGACCATCGTTTAGGTGTCCTGCAGAAATTAAAAGACATAATAATTCAAATTTGGATAAGCAGACAAGGAAAAAAACAGAGGCTGTCTGAGGAAAAGCCGTGCTGCATGTGTCAAGAGCAGACACCAGCAGAGAGAGCCCTCAGAGAGGTGAGAGGTGACTCTGGGGAAAGGCGTGAGAGTGAGGGAACCCCAACTCCCCGTCCAACCAACTTTCCTCTGCATGGTTTATAAAAAGGAATGTCTTAGGGACGTAGCTCCTGCTTCGGTGCACAAGCACCCCTGGTAGCGCTGCACCCGCAGCTCGGGATGGCTCAGCCACACGGCCTATCACAGCGTGCAGGGCTCCGACCGGCGGACCCCGGGCCGTTCCCCCTCTCAGGCGAAGGACATCCCCACTGGCGAGCGAGCGGGCAGGGGTCTGAGACCAAACGCCGTCCGTCCTCCCACCTCTTTCTCCTCAGCTCCCTTCCCCAGCGGCCGGCCGCCCTTCCCGCTTCGCCTTGCTTCGTCTCGCCTGCCCTGCCCGGGACCTTCCCTCCCGCCTGGCCCCTCCACCCCGGCCCAGTACGTACAAAACCACCAGGGCAGCCCCACGAAGGGCTGCGGGGCCCAACACTCACCGCGCCACCGTCGCCGTCCTCCGCCCGCTGCTCCTGTCTCCTGCCGACAGTGGGCGAGCCCTGCAGCAGCTGCTCCAGGCAAGCGGTGCTGGGCAACGAAGAGCTCTTCTGGTGGGACAGGTGAGCCCCAGGCCGGCGCGCCTCCTTCCCGCTCGCCTGCCCCTCATCGCCGGCGACCGGCACTGGCCGGCAGCCGGGTGGCGGCCCCTTGCCCTGGGGAAGCAGGTGCTCCCGCAGGCGGCGCATGGGCGGAGCCGGACTCGCCGTCCGGCTCTACCGGCTCAGCGGCCAGCAGAGAATTGGTTGAGGACGAAAAGACGCGGTCCAGCCTGCCGCCCGCTTTAAGCCGCTCACTTTAGGGAGGCAGGTCCCCCTTGCCGCTGGTCGGCGGCGGTGCGGGGGGCTCCGCAGTGCGGCGCTCGGTTCCTGCCCGCCCGCCACCGCTCCGGCCCTTACCCCCCAGCTGCAGGTTCTTCCACAGCCGGGCCTGGAAGGATACTGCCGACTCAGATTCGCTGGGCTTTCCCCGGTGGTCATCTGGGGCTCCTTGCCTGCCTCCATCCTTCTTCTTGCGACGAGGCGGTGCGGCGCAGGCACGCCGGAGCCGGCGCCTACTGCCGGTGCTGGGCGGCCGGGCGGAGCGCCCGTCGGAACGAGCGCAGGGTTCCACCGCCCGCCCTCCACTCGAGAGCGGACCGAGGGAGGCTGGAGCTGCAGCGCTGACGTTGAACCTAAAAGAAGGACGAAACTCTCACCTTGGCCCAGCCGGGCGGAAAGTTTGCCTCCCTAGGCCCCCCACCCTGGCTGTACCCTCGGTGGCAGCGGGCAGCGCGAAGCGAGGTGCAAGGGGAGCGGCGGCTCGGCTATGTATACGTGCGGCAATGCACATGAGGACGTAGCAGGAGGGGGCTTATCCTGCCCACCTCCCCATCTATTTTCTGCATTGGAGACAGCTGCACCGTACGAGAGGCTTGGAGGGCAAACGGCTCCGGAGGTCTCCGCGGAGAGCGAGGGTAGGGAGTGTCTGCGCCGTGATATCTGCGATCTCCTTTGGGGTCGGGGTACACCCAGACCCTGTGTGAAGGTGGGAACGTGAAGTGGGTCCCCGGCCGGGCAGACATCGTCCCCAAGCCGCGGCAACCTTGTGGAGGGAAGGTTCAGTCGGATTTGCTCGTGCAGGTACAGTAAACGCTGCAGAAAATAACCGGCCTCGTCACCGGCTCTGCGCTCGGCAGCGGTGGGCGCAAAATGCAGCGCACGGCCAGGCAGAGCCCGCCAGATAGGGGCGTTTGTCAGTCTCGTATTTTTTAAATTTAAAAAAAAAGTTGTTTTCTCATTACAGCATACTGGATTAGTAGCCCCGTCATTGCATTTTTGGATGCTTAACGCTATCTAAAGTGTCTTTTTTTAATTAAAATAATACCAGCAGGATGATTTCAGAACAAGTCTTTACGTTCCATGAAACAAACAAGCAAAAGAAATCTTTTGGTGTATAGTGAGCCATACCTTTATGTAGCGTACTTTTGGGTTTCATTTCAAAAGACACTTCTTCACACCATTGAGGTTTTGGCCACCTGTATTCAATTTTCCCAAAAAAGTTTGCAGCCAGGCGTTTGACAGTACAACTTTTGCTGAACAGAACAGGAAGAATACAAATTAAAAGTATTGAGATAAAATGGGTGCTTTCAAATGATTTGGGGCTTGGAATTATATCTAAAGTATTTGAGAAAATAGCCAAAACAACCTCTGAACCACTGGAGGTTGTTTTTGATGAGTCCTGTCAGATAAATGACATTTCAGGACCAGAAAAGGCCAAACATAGTCATAGCAAAAAAAAAAATTCAAGATAGAAAATGACAGATAGGTCAGCCTACTTTGATCCCTGTAAGTAAATCTAAATTATTAGCTTCTACTACCTAAAAGCAAAACCATCAGGTAGCAAAGCTCGAATGGATCAAGGTCTGGAGGAAGCTTATGTGTCAGAATTTTTGAAATGACATCTTTAAATTAAATAAGAAATGTGCTAAAATGGAAGCTCTTTAAAAGGTCTGCTTTCTTGTAAATAATGGGTTTACTCAATGAGCAGGAATCAAGAGAATAAAATATGAATTTAGTTCTTCCCCAGCGAGTGAAAAAGACTACAGAAGTATTTCAATATATACATGTGCCTTGTGTGTCACTTTTTGTTTTCACATTACAGTCAAAACATAGAATAAGCAGCTTTTCAGGTAAACAGCGTTTTCTGTTAAAATTAATACTCTTTTCACAAAGCCAATAGGTATAGAGAACTACAATATTCTGTTCAAAAGAAATTGTTATTTGTCAAAATACTGAACTACTCTGATATCTTTAAATGACAGTTATTTTCACAAGTGATCACATTTTCCTTTTCAAGAAAAAGAAAGACCAGAAATTTGTTGTTTGTGTAGACATATTCCCTACAGAAAGTAATCTCGCAACTAGAACAGTACATGGATGCTCATTGTCTGGGAGAGGTGTACACAAGCCTCAATATGCCTTGTACTGTGTTTTTATGATCTGTGCATTGAGTGGTCCCAAATAACGTGCTGGCAAGCCTCCTGATTCTTCTTCCACATAAACCAGCATAAGCTTTCCTTACATTAAAATTCTGTCATTACACTGTAATTTCCAAATTGGTCTAATTCACCTCCTTTTTATCCAACCAGCAAATAGATTTGCTTATAAAAGGATCAAAGGAGTTTAGGCTGTTTAGTTGCAGAAATACTCATTGTCTTGGGGTTGAAGGACATCTGGGATGAGAAGGCAGTGTATGGCTCTGCTGCAACAGGCAGAGTGAGATTATTCTAGAGTTAATTCAAATCAGTTCACTGTAAACAGTCTTACAACAAAATGAGTCATTCTGCACATTGAATTCTCTCTGAGCTATGTTTGTTTAAATTGAAGCAGAACCTAGCAGACAGATCACAGGAAGACTTCAAACAACATTCAAATAGAAATCTCAATGTTTAACAAAACCATGGGTTTAACACCTGTGCAGATGAGAATGATACTTCTAAATGTACAAATAAACCTTTATTAGCCTTAGAAATAAAAGAAGGCTATCTGAAAATACTTGTTTACACCATATTGCTTCAAAGTTTTGTAAACTAAAACAAAACAGAACAAACAAACAAACATAAAAGAATGATGTAGTATTTCAAACAGGAAACCTAGGAGAATATGTTTTTTATTTCCAACATATAAAGTATACGTATCAAAAAGGAAAAACATTTTCTGGGTAAGGCAGCTATCAGTGTTGTTAGAACTGTATTTCATCTATCTATATATGTCATTATTCTAATTAGTTTAATTTAAACTGATAAAACAAATGTACTGCTCAATACTAAGCACCATGCATTTTTTTTTAAATATTTTCTAATGCTTTTTAAGACTCTGACCCAAAGCCCCAGATTTCTCTAGTTATTTAGGTCAAATAAAAGTCTTTGGTTTGCTTTGGTTTTGCTTATTTCTTGAAAAAAAAATGTTACTTTGCTGCTTCTGATATTTAGGTCATTATTGATACGTATTTATATTTCAAAAGACACTTAATTTTTTAGCTAACACCCCCTTTTGAAACACCCTCTCTTCTCCCATCATTCAGAATATAAAATACAGCGAGAATGGTAATATGGAAATACATACCAGACATATTTGAAGGCAGTATTGGAACACGGCCTTAGGCTCAAAAGCTGAGCATGATTTTGTTCTTCTAGTCTAGAACCACATTTTTAACACCACTTGCACATCATTTTGCCTTGTTCTTTCTCTGTGTTTCTTCAGTCTGAATTATTACGGATTTGTGTTTCTTTTTTCATCAGACTTGTGTTTCAGATGGAAAAGTTCTTGTCTGTAACACAATTTTTAAGTACATCCTCAAATGTTGGTTTTTGCTTGATTTTATCTCCACACTAACAAATGAACATAGGCATCCCAGTAAACAAATTCAAGTCTTGTCATGTTAAACAGTATCTCAGGCAATGAGTTCTCCCCAGCCCATTGTAAGAAGTTTCATATTATACAGACAAACGCATACTCTTTAACTCTTGTCCTCCACAGTGAAAATATTTTTACCTGAAACTTTCTAATTGAGATTCAGTGAGAGTCAAGAAATAGACTGTTGTAGCCAGTACAGAATATTGTAGCCAGAATAGTGAAGAGCTTTGGAATATTACAAGTATTGAAAGTGTGCCTGAAGCTTCAGGCAACCTTAGCTGTACTACAAGTCCTGTTTTCACCCACAGCTGCACAGTAGTGAGTACATTTCTTCTTGCATTTTATGCCAGTAATCCTGTTCCTGCTCTTCTAATTTGACTAAACATAGCTTCTCACAAAACCAGTTGCAACTTAGCTCCACAAAATGTTTCATCGTCTTAATGTAGTTTTGAGTATTTTTACCCAGCTACAGGGTTTTTTGGCTGTAATGATAACAGTACAGATTCAGCCATTAACCTAGGATAATGCAGGTTTCAAAATGTATTCCTGAAGTGAGAGAACCCTCCTTATGAGAAAGTACTGGGAAGAGTCTAAGTTGAACTGTTATGAAAAATTGAGTCAATTTACTGGAGATTAATTTCCCTTCATTTCATGTACATCTTTGTCTCTAATATTTTAACCGTATTGCTAGCCTTCTGCTAATGTTCCTTAGCTATTTCTTTGTTTGTTGTTGTTGATACCTGACACAGTTTCTTTAATAACATGTACAGGAAGGTCTAATGCAGCTCCTGGGAATAAAGGAGAGAAAAAGCAGAGTCACACAGCATTGGTGTATCATAAGCCATGTGCAGCAATTCAAACCATATTCCGGTCTACACACAATGGTGGAAAATCCAGCAAGATGTTCTCACAGCTGAGAAGAAGTAGGCTGACTGACGGGGGGAGAGCTGTAACCCCCCTTATGCAAGACTCAGAAGGACCACTCTGCATGCAAGTCACAATATGGCACAAAATGGCCCTTTATTGAGCACGGACGCAGGCTTTTAAACAGAGAGCAGGGATTTTTCTAGAACTTAGGGAGCAGATTGGGAGGAGTACTCAAAAGAGCGGCCAATCATGGTAACAAGGGGCGGAACCTATCTAAACATGGACAAATAGGGAAAGGGTTTGTATAGAACCAATAGAAGAAAATGGGTACAGAGAAGGAAATCATATATTCTCGTAATAAAACACATTATGCCAACAACAGAACAATCGCACAACCAAGTAAAACACTGGAAACAGACACTCTTGT